CCCGAGATGAACTCCTACCTTTATTATTCGTGTGGGGGAGAATATAGAGACATCAATTAATAAGACGATAAATAATCGTTAACGATTTATACGAAAATTTTTCTATCATAAGGCTTCTTGTTGGTGTGGATACATGAAATTCTCTGCCTATTTATATTTGTTATTAGACAATTTCTATGGTTCTTGAATTCTCTCCATTTCAAAATAAAAATGGTTTGTGGGCGTAGAGGTAGACATGATAAGCACAATACGAATGAGGGATATGGCCTATGCTTGTACTTGTGATTCTTCAGTCTCGTATTGAAATCTTTTTTTTGGTGTGTGTGGGTGGGGGTGGGGGGGGGGGGGCGCCCATAATAGTAAAATAGAAATTAAATAAATAGATCACTTCCATCCATTATTCAGGTACGTTTTTCACACATATATTCAGCAATATATTTTCTCAACATCCTTGTCTGACTTAAGCATCGGAGGGGCGACGAGGACACACCTCGACGCCTTTGTTTCAGGTACGGAAGATCTTGTTCGTGCTCAATCTCAGTGACCAAGCTCGGGACTCGATAGGTGACGATTTTTGGTAAGATCACTTGTACTTGTGATTCTTCAGTCTCGTATTGAAATCTTTTTTTTGGTGTGTGCGCGTGGGGGTGGGGGCTGTGGGGGATCACAATATAAATGTGAATTATAGATCTTTCAATCAATTTTGAATTGTAGATGAGATGGTAAGCATAATTCAAGCCGATTGATTTCTGTATCGAATTAGTTTGTGTTTTCCTAAATAATTTGAGGACGACGGACATGCAATAACAAATTACGTTACATCCTGAGTTACAGTGTCGCCATAGAGAATTGCGGCCCCCATTTCCTTCACATTGTTATTTCCTCCATCGACATAAAATTGCTCGTCATTGTTGCTTTATCTTGGGACGGACTCCTATCCTCACTCGCTCTTTAGTTTCAATTCTAAATGAGCTGTCTCGAAAGGCTTACAACTGCGCCTTTCCTATACAAATACGGCCTCCGTCCACTCCCATTACACGGGAGTATTAACTGGTCGGTCTAGGGTTGGCCCCTAGGGCTCTATTTGCCTCGAAGATCTTACTTAAGCAGGACACCAGACACCTCCCTTTTTTAAGGTCTTCGACACGTTAATATTGACAATAAGAAAGTCACAGGACGACTACTACTGTAATATTTTGAGAGAGTGCTACTCCTTGTACATGTAATCAAAACCTATATTCACGGATCTTTTCAACCCAAACATGACTCACTCGCATTGGTAACTCCTTATCAAAAAGGGAGGGATAGCTATAAAATTAGCGTAAAAAACCAACACCGCAATAAGAACGTGTAATACAAGACTATCATAGTAAAAGGAAGATAAAATGAAAAAGAAAATGAATCAAAGAACGATAAAATATAATAGAACTAGCAATTAACTTGCCATTTACAAAAAGTTATTAATCATTGAGAAGTATATCTATTACAATTGTGACAATGCCCTCCCACATGCATGCATGTCTGGCAACGTAGCTTTGACAATTACAAACACTATAACCTCCAAATTAGAGCACAAAAGATAAGTCTCTTTCATAATATTTGTCTTCTGGATAATATACAGCACTCACAGTATTGCCTCCAAATTTCCTGCCACTAAGTGCAGCCCTTGCTTTAGAACAACCAGCAGCATCTGAATACTCCAAAAAGACCTTCATTTATCACCAGTAAGATGGATTAGAACACAAATATGTAACTCATTTTTAAGCAAGAATAGAAATGTCAGTTTTTATATATCTACAGGAAAGGACATGGCCAAATATACACCTTTAATTGTTCTTAGCATGAAAAGTAGAAAACTTGGCTACGTAAAAAATATGTGCAAGGAATTTTTATGATCTGCCAAAATAATGCTATGCATCTCTGGGCGACACGTTAGCAGTCCATATCATTTAGAGCTCTACATTGCACGGCTCTTTCAAAACCCGGACATTTTCTTAAAGAAAGGATTAAAGCATTTAGAACAATAAGAATGTGGGGCTTGTCAACAAGGAATACATGCATACCTTTCCAAGACCATGACTTATGGTGGCATTTGGAATAGGCCGCGGAATTACAACATCAATCAACTCTCCTGTAGTTTCACAAAATGATAATAATTAGATTTAATGAAATGCAAGTAGTAA